TCCCAACGCCGCACGAAAATTATTTTATGATGCTTTTAAACTAATTTTCTGGAAAAACAACGTGCAAACGGATTTTCGCTTTTCGTTTTTCCTTTTTCGTTTTCCCGCTGTTGTTGTTGCCGGCGAAAACTGTTGACTGAGGACGCGTGGGCACGTAAAATTTTTTATTTTATTTGCCAACGCTGCGAGCACATTTTCAAGTGGAACGCGTGTCGGTCGCGAGTTGTGAATTCTGAATTTTAGATGCAGGTAACAGGTGAGTCCTTGCCTTCCTTGTTTTACCGCTCCCCATAGTTTCCAGTCACGAACTAGTCATAAAATTAGCGCAGAGGCCTTCGAGCCTCGAGGAGGAGGTGCCTCCTGGCCTCTCCAAGGACTGCGAAACTCAATTTACTTTTGCTTTTGCAATTATGCCAAAGACACTTTCTGTTTTGTCCCCTATCTCGAGGCCATCAATCTAAATTACGGCATAAAATTTTCAGCCTAAGCCGGACTTTTGTGGAATAATAAAAATATTTTATGCCCGGCGACAAATTGATTTATCCGACAGCCTAATCAACTTTGGGGGATTTTGATAGATTTGTGCTGCAATTTATGAATGAGACAAAGTCGCAGCTGGAACTGCTCAGTTTTTGTACAATTCTTAGGATGAAGTTCGGGCCCAAATTGACATGTTCTGCCCAATAATGAAGCGATCAGGGGCCAAAACCTCATCCTGCTTCCTTGGCTTCCTCGGCTTCTCTGGCACTCGGCCTATTCATAAATCCCCTTTTCCTGGCGATTTGTCAGCACCAGACATGCGACATTGACAATGTCTGTTCAGTATCTCTATCTTTTTGCCCTGGCCAAGGACAAAGCACTTGCGAGGCGCTGCAGGTAGGCCGGCCTATGGCTCGTTATTGTCAATCTATCTTCCAGTATCTGCAAGTATCTCCCACTCCCACTCCTCCTTCCCCGAATCTCAATCTGTATGGCCGTAGCCTTGGCCTTTGTTGGCCGCCTGCTCTTTTCGCCATCTCCTGTTTGTTTTTGCAATTGACAGTCGCTGGAGGACGAGGGCTGTAAGCGTGAGCATAATTATGGTTTTCAATTTATTCCTGGAATCCTATCGCACACGCAGCGTGCTTAGGAGTTGCATAGGTTTCCCTAGAACCCACCTGATGTTGGCCTTTTGGCAGGAGTTCCTAATTGAAAGTGTCATAAATTAGGAATGAACTTCAAGTCAAGTCGTTTTCGGCTGCTGCTCCTGCTGCTCTGGGAAAAACTTATGGAAATCGTGGAGCGATCCGAAGTAACCTTTTGTATTTACCCTTTATATATGGAATTTTTCGTTTCTAATACATCATTTTAAACGCTAAACAACCATATTTGAACTATGTGTTACATATAAAATAACAACCCCAATCTATGCCATGTAGAGATGTGAAATTGGAATATTCAACACGAATTGTTTAATGTTTTCCAAAAATCCCTAGTCATTAAAAGATTATTCGTGCAATGAAATATTGCATTAAGAAGCTGATACTATTATGCTTGCTGGCCGAACCTTTTAGTCCCCAATTTCGCATCTAGTTCGACAACTCATTCTCTATTCAACGAGGTTTCCTGAATAAACACAGCAGCAATTTCCTGCATTATTTATTTACTTTCAAGTAGTCAGCCTAAATGCATTCACCACCAAAAACACGGCGAAAAACTCAAACATCATGCTCCAAAGGAATATCCTGCCATAAAAAGACAACACACAACTAGAGGAACTCATTCATAAATCAATGGCTACAAGTATTGTTAATTTTCGATACATTTTTTGAGGAAGCCTGTGAAGTGTTTATTGGAAAAAATGTGCTTCCTCACGGTTGTTTTTAGGATAAATATGCCACAGGGAAATATGATAGCCTATAACTTCGTTGGCGGGACAGCTGGCCCATTGGAGTATCCTTTGGGCTTCCTGTGAGTGCAGTTCTGTTTTATCTGGATTATTCGGAGCAGTGTGATTGATGACTCAGGCTGGGGAACTCACCTTTCCACAGCCATTTCCCAGCCATTCCAAGAGGACTCTCCTCGCCTGTTTACGACTCTAATCTTGTTTCTGTGTAAAACCAAAACGTGACTCCATCGTTGACCCCACGGAACTTAGGCTAATGTCTGAGTCACCGCTTCCCAAGAACCGTTCCCGCTTGCCCCAATAAAGTATAACGAACTCAACCTACCGCCCATAATTCCACGTTGCCAATACCATGGCTGAGGAAAATCGAAAACGCACCACGAGAATTTTCACATTTTCACCTGAGCGAATGAGGCGAAGTGGAAGAACGTGTTCGGGCCATAAATATCAATTAGCTAAGATAAAGATACCGAAGCGAGCCACAAGACCACGAATCGGAAAATAAAACTAATTGCAGCTAGCCGGTGGTCCTCCGCCTCGCTCCCTATACATATAAGTACGTATTGGTATCTGGCCAGACTTCGAGCGAGGAGGAAGTCGTAAAATTGATAAAGGCGCTGGACCAAGGAAAAACACGCCACTCCAATTATGGGAGTGAGTGTCACTAAAGTGCCAGGTCACGTTCGGAATTCGGGCTGCGGAAAAGTGAGTCACACACAGAAACCGAAACACCGACCGACTCCCGAGATCCGAGAGTTTTCCGGAGCTCATCTTTTTATCAGCCAGCGCGCTTGATAAGCTGCTACAAATTTCGATGACGCAAGTGGAAAATGGAAATGAAAGTGGCTGCCCCCCAACGCCGCCGATAGATTTTCCTCTAATTTGCTGCTCATTTTGTTTGATGATGTGACGACACACGATTCGCCGCCTCTTTGAACTTGGCCTGCGGCATTTATCTGGATTTGGGATTCTGTACTCTGGATTCGCTTCTCCGGGCAGCTATCTCCAACCCGGTGTGGTCCTTATCTCCGTCGTGTGCTGCTGCTAATGAGCGCATGCTAGCTGTTTGCACTTGGCTTGAACAAACAGCAAGTTAGCTGCTCTGTTCTTTGTCTTATATTAGCGTTTGGAAACCGTCATCGCGGGCATAAGACCTCTGGCTTATCGCTGTACAAACCTATCCCTGACCTAAGTCAGCATACATATAGTACACACAGTTTGTAGGTGCGCTTCATGGCTACAACAATCCGACAGCGACCCAGTTAGATAGCAACTAAAGTGCGGCTAATCTTAGGAATCGGAAGGGTTTCGGATTGCCGGCTATATGTTCGCTGAGCTGTGGCTAATCTTCAGGTGGAGGTAACCAATTCCATGTATTCACATAAGAGCTTTGGATCCATTGGATCACGAATAAATTAAATTATTCCAAGCACTTAACGCAGGGCAATAAATAAATTTGCGAAAACTAAACAGGTTTTATTACGTATTTTCTCACATGATATTAGTTTGATATATTTGCTTCTGGCTACTTTGTAAAAGTAGTTGAAGAATGTGCAAGTAATGTTTCAAATGTGCACTTGCAAACCAAATTGAATTAGAGGCTCCGGCGAATGCATCCATTTTACAGCTTAAATCATAAACAGAAGCGAATGCTGCTTAAAATTTCATTACGCGCACTTAAGTGGTGTGATTTTCGGCACACCCTTCTCTGGGAAAACCCCCGCCTCCCTAGCCCCCGCCAGCCAGTGTTGCAAAAGCTCGTAAAATCCCCGCCAGCTGCAGTAGCTGCCACATCCACATCCACATCCACATCCGCGACCACGTCCTCGTCCACATCCACTGCAATGCAGCTGGCGAAATGTCATCAGCGCCTGGATTTTATGGCGGCGGCAAAGGAGAATGTATCTAAGCTGCAGTCTTGTTCCTGGTTTCGCTGGTCCCTGTTTTCCGGCTCCTAAATTCGGCCAAAGCGTAAAACTTTTATGGCTGCCGCAGCGCGTGGAGAGGTGAACCTGCCCAGCTACCCGCCACCAGTAGTCGTAAATAAATTTCTGGCCGTAATTAATTTTGCATGCCAGTCAGATAGCCAGATAGCCAGATATTTAGCTGCTGCTCAAGTCGCTTTTTCGGGGAGTTAACAAACGCACACGGCTGCTGATTGGGAATGCCACACGCCATTTAGGCCGCTTTGATATGCCGAATGTGTCGCTTAATGATTCTTATTCCTCATTGCTCATACGCACCGTGTGACGCGCGTAGGGCTTAGTATGCTAATTGCATCTTTGTATCTTTTTGCGTGTGTGACGCATGCGAGGCGGCCTCGAATCTGTCAGAATCCAGCCAGTCAGCCAGAAAAGTTGAGTTTACAGTGCAGTCAGCTCATTAGTGAGTCTGTTTGCCATTGTGGCTCTTGTCTGGCTGCTCTAGCATTATTTATCTGGCATTTTTAACACTTGCCGCTGACAGTCGCTTTGGCATATTCTGCGCTATTTTCTATTTCTCCGCTGCCAGCACACAACACATAAATATGCTGAGGGAAAACCGAAAAAAGCCAAGTCGGGCTGGCAAGTGCAAATTTGTTTGCTGCATCGAGCCGGGCACAAATTTCTCAACCTTGGCTCCGTGCTCGACTTGTTTGCCCCACGTTAATTTTTGTTGATTTTACGCGTTAGCCGCTTGGCTGCCCCACTGTGTGTTTACTGTAGCTGCAGTATTTGTATCGGGCCAGGTCGCAGCTGTGTGAACGGAGCAGTGAAGATAAGGCCAACTGCATTGAGATACTCCCCTGCATCTGGCCAACTCAACTGCCTGGGGCGACGGAACTTGCTAATAATTTGGATACATCATGTTCCAATTGGCACATTAACGGGGCAAATAGTTTAAAATGACAATCCATAAGACATTCAAGGCATTTTCAACTTATAAAATAATTAGGTGCTATAATTCTGAGAGCAGTAGTAGTAGTAATTCATAATAATTTGAAGATTTAATAATAATTTAATAATATAATAATAATTTTGATCCCAATCTAAGGGATAATAGCAACCTCTCACGCACACATCACGAATTATTTGTATTATTTTACTTAGTTTATTTTTTGATTGTAATTGCTTGTTCGTTTGGTAGCATTGTAATTAAATCCGCAGTCAATGGTCTTTCTCTGGCACTTTTAAGCACTGTTTTGAGAGGTATGGATATCAATGACAGCAAGAGGAAAAAATTTGGCCGGAAAACCTACGCATTCCTTGTGATATTTATGGGGCTAGCTGTGGCCCAATGGATTCTGGTCTGCTTGGTGTGGGTAATTGAGGCACAAAACAACCTAAATATTTCACAGTATTTAATCTCACAGGGAAAGTAGTCGTAAGATATTCCGCGACTTTGAGATAATTTGCTCGGCTACCTTTGCTCTAGCTGGCATATTTTTCACCATTTTCGTTTTTAACGAAGGTGTTCGCAACCACAGGATTTACAGATGGCTTGTAGCCCTTATCATAGTGAGTTTATTAGATTATTTCCGTATATTGCTGAAAACCACACCTGTACATTAGGTGGAGCTGGAGATATTTTCGATGTACGTCCTAGTAGCTCGAACCTGGATTCCAGATATGCTCGCCTATTTCTTTTTCTGCACGCTCCTGTTGGTCGTAGCGCTGGTCGTTGGATGTCATCTCTCATTTTCGGTAGGATTACCAAATCATTGTACAAACTATAATTTATGCCGAACCATCAGATGGATATAACTCGCTACATAGCTCCGCTGTTTATCTTGAGCTTTATATTGGCAATGATGTCGTCTTATTTTCTGTTGGCCCATTTATTTTTACCAAGCCTGAAGCCCTATGCGTATCTCATCTTTGAGCTTGGCCTAACATTTATAATGACATCGGTATAGTTGGTTCAGCAGCATTATTTGTAATATATTTATTAGCATTCATCTTAAGATTATCATGCTGCATGCTCAAACAATCAATGGAGATCGGTATGTCCAGATGAGGGTGAAGGATTTCATCCTGGCCGCTTTGCTGGTCTTCCACGAATTTCTGCTCATCTACGCACTCACGTTCTACTGGCAGATTCATTATAGCTACTTCACATCAGCTGACTATTTCTGGATGTCGACTAGTACCCCAAATATACAGGGAACAACACCAGAAAATATTAATTATGATGACTACGGTAAGGGATATATTTTTGTTGACCAGCTTTTTGCAAATAACTTGACTTGCAGACAGTAAAGCTTCTGACGATGACTGGTCGGCTAGAAATGAATCCAGTTTTGATTGGTACACAGACATTTGGGAACCCACAAATGAGCTGAAATTAAAAGCGTGAACCTACATGAGGTGTTACAATTAAATATTATAAATCAACTTTATTTCTAGAATAAATATTCATAAATTTAAAAAAATCACATTAGTTTTGAGGCTCCTTTTAAAATTGTTCCCCCAATAATACACCAAACGAAGCACTTGGATCTTTCCCAATAACTTTTCGTTATCCTGGACAAATTTGCAGTCAAATACACCGAATTTAAACAAAGTAGACCCATGAGTTACGATGTATGTATCCGATGAGCATCGCCTTTACCGAAGGGCGCGCAGAAAGTTTTCCTTCAAGACCTATATCTTGTTTGTTCTGTGGCTCATTTTGGCTCTGGCCCAATGGCTGGTGATAGTCTTTATGTAAGTCCCAATATTAATAAATATACTGCGTTAAATGGATTGCACTTTCCACCAGAGAGGGTGGAAGGAAAACCTTCAGGTCGCTGTACTACATCTCTCTGGCGACCTTTGCACTGGCCATCATAATATTCGCGCTCTTCATATTCATTGAGAAGTTGCGCTTCATTAAAGTGCTCAACTTTATCATATCACTGATAATAGTGAGTAGCTGGAACATAAGTATACATACGTTTGTGGTATTCCCAAACTAAATTCAGGTGGAGCTCCAGATCATATCCACATTTGCCCTGGTTGCCCTCAGTTGGTGGGCGGATGTCCTCACATTTTTTGGAGTGTCCTTGATATTGGTGGTAATCTTTCTTGTGATAGGAGTGTTTCTACCATCACGAGTAAGATATGTATTTTGAGCCTTAACAAACATATCATGGCTAATATCGCAAACATTTTTCTAGGCGGACCTCACTCTAGATATAGCAGTTTTATTTATATTAGCATTTCTCTTCCTGATTGTGGCCAGTCTGATACTATTATTTGAGCTACTTGTGAGGAAAACGGTTCCCTATGCCTATGCAGTGGTGGAAGTATCTGTAACCATTACGATTCTACTGGTAAGTACTCCACAAATGCATGATTATTTCATATAAATATACGTTCTTAGTTCGTAATGTACCATGGCCAAACAATTAATGGAAACCGCTTTGCTGAGATGCGACTTAACGATTTCTTCCTGGGGTCGCTAATTCTGTTCCACGACTTCCTTATCATTTTCTGGCTGACATTCTACTGGCAGATCCATTATAGACCTATCACAGCTGATTCCTGGTTAGATACATCTACACCGTATTACAATACCACAACCGAAAGAAGCGATAATTATTATAGACATCTTGACGGTAATTACGCGAACAGGCATTAGAGTGGGAAAAGTTATATTTTCATTTATGCAGGTGGAGCAACACAACCTCCGTGGGGAGAAGATTGGTTCACCAGAGGATTCGATGACAGTTATGATAGTGATGCAAATGCAAAAGGCTATCCCGAGATACCAAGCGGCAGAGGAAAACCAGGGAATCGGAACCCCAATGACAGGGGCTTCACAAGAGATTGGTCAGTCTACAATGAAAGGCCCAAAAATGGATTTGGAAGTCGCGGAAGGTCCCGAACTAAAAGTCCGGAACCAAAAGTAGTACACCACAGCCATCGTAAGCCTGAGGAATGGGACCCTGAGTACATTACGCAAGGTGTGGATAAGGTGGTGCCCTTTGATGACCGATATGGCGAAAATTCAAAAGACGTCCTAGGAGATGACGAAGTGCATCCGATTCACAAGGAGGATGATGATAGCGATGAGCCCATTAATGTTCACTCGGGACAGCCGATTGATAAGTTTTATCAAATACCCAATACTAAACCCATAGATGCTGGTAATGCCGCAGGAAAATCGGCCGCTGGCTTTGGTGATCCAACCGTCAATTTTCCTCCGGCAGACCACCAGCCAAATGCTGATCCCTCCTGGCAAATCCATTCGTCAACCGAATCTCCTCATATATATATTATTTCTAAGGCGAGACCCTCCAGCAATCAAAAATACATTCCGGGTGCTGAGCATTCTTATTCTACGAGCAATAATCAACAAAATGATGCTAAAAATGAAAAGATTGAAGGTTTTACTATTGCTGACGAGAAAAGTGAACCGAGTCTTCGGCAGAATAATTTTCTGGAAAGCTCGAAGATGTTTACAGAAAGGGAATACAACTTGCAAAAGGATGAAATGAGTGGACTAGCCAGAGATCAATTTGCAGAAGGACGAAAAGACTTTCGTGGAGTAAGCCCACCTCCATGGGAAGAGCTATCTGAAGATGAAATCCGAAAAATATTGGACCATAGGATCCATGAAGATAAGTATCGCCCAAGTGCAGACCGTTGGGTTGAGCCATTAATTACCAGAGAGCCTTATGCAATAAACCTTCCGGACTATGAGAAACTTGTAATGAATGCCAGTTCGAGCATATTGCAATAGAATATGAATTATTTTGCTCTATAAATTTAATCCGATTGGCCGATTGTCATCAGAGCCATTAGGCATTTAATTGCACTCATTAAAGAGGGCAACACATCTTATTCAACCGCATGTGCGACAGGTGACAAACAAATTAATGTCTCTGGGATTTATGAGCCGCCCACAAAATGGGGTAAACAAGAGTCGTCCGCAAAGTCAGCCCAAAACAACCTGTTCAATGAACTCTGCCGAAGGAAAAAATCCGAAAAACCGTTTAACAAATTACGGCCAACACACGTGCAGTCACCATAAAAACGTACCGCACCGAGATACTCGCACCGTACAGTAGTAACTCATCGCATACGACACATTCGCTCGCATGTACGAGTGCCGACCACATCGCTTATCTGTGGGGCAGGCACTCCACCTTCAGTTTTCGCTGATGGAGCTTCTATTTGGTCCTAAACCCTGTTGGGGTCAGGGTAACTCCGGGGTCGATCGGCAATGCAGGGTATTACTAGTGCTAAATGCTGTTTTGTACAGGTATACCTTATTTACCAGCCTTAGCCTGTTTTATTAATTGCCGCCTGCTAAATAGTATTCAAAATTTATTCAGCAATTACAAATAGATTTGCAATTAGTGAGGATTATCAACTTTTATTTTCTCAAGCCCAACAAATGTTTAATAATGTATTAGCTTATAGTTTTTGTCGATCCTGCAATAATCGCTCGTTCAAGAGCATTTTGTATTCGCCATTCCCTGCGAGACTTATATTCCGGGTTTTTGTGCATTTTGGCAAATCATGGCGAGAACCCAAGGCACGACCACGACAAACAGAGGGAGCGGGAGCCACCAGTTCTCTGGATGTGCTGTAGCTGCTGGTGTTGATGTTAGTGCCAGTCCGCAGTCCACAGTCCCAAATCCCAATTCCCACTCCCCCAAACCCAAGCCCATTGGCATTCCCACTCGGAATCCCCCGGCATGCCCGCCTTGCCCCGTTTTGAGGCACAGTCACTCATGACGGCGACCTGAACCAGATACACGATGCACGATAATATAATTTATGGCCCTGTTTGGTGTTTGCAGCTCCTCGCTCACTTCTCCGCTGCGTTATGGAATGTTTGATGTGCCATGCCGGTGCCTCCAGTGCCCCCAGTGCCTCCGCCACGTCCATGCCGCCTTCTGCTTGGACTCATCAACAAATCGTACATTTGAATACAAATTGCAGCATTAAAGACGCAGAAGCTTCGGCAAAAGTGTCAAATTTGACATGAAATTATTTATGCTCGCACGAAGCTTTAACTCGAGTTTTTAGTGCTCCCAATTAGGTTCATCGCCTGAGGAGCTGAAATCCCAGACAGGCAAATAAAATGGCATTGCTTTGTTCTCTTTTTTTGTTTGATAATATTTTTTCTTATATATTTTGCATATTTTATTTCTTTCTTTCTTCTTCCCGTAGTCGACAATATTTATTCCGGTTGTGTTTTTTCTGTGAGCTTTAGCTTTAGGTTTTACTCTAGTAATGTTTCTATTTAATCGTAGTAACTGCAACATTAAGAAACTGTCTGTGTTTGTTAGTTATTGATAATGTCTAAAGGGTGGACAACAATTTTTATGTTGGAAATAATCAGCGCCATGCCTTACAGTGTCGGAAATTGAAGCGGGGCTTTAGAATATCCAGCGGATAACAAAACTCAAATTCTTTATGCCAAAAGGTCTTTATCATTTAATAAACAGACCCATTCTGAAGACAAAGCTACGGCCATGGCAGTGTAATCAGCTTAATTTCCTCTACAAACTCTTCTAACTTAATCCTTTTTGGCCAAATCCTTAAGTAACACTTAAAACGGATGCTGAAAAATCCTTTCAGCAGTGCACGTTCGGCTGGAATTCCCCAGCTGCACTGCATTTCTGCTGACCTAATCTCGACCAGCCGCATCCAAGTCACGTACATAATTTCAAAACAAAACCAAATACGAAACCCCAAACGGCATCTGATATTTGCTCAGCCCAAAGTACGGGTATCTGAGGGATTAGGATTCGTGCACTGGCAGCAAGGTCAACAATGGGAGTGGAAATCGCGTAACTTTAGATATGATTTTTTGGCATTGGGCGGAACTGAAAGGAACTGATAAGGAAATGAAAACGAAAATTTCAATTTAGTTTGCAATGTGTTCATTCGAGTTGTATATTTTTTCTTTAACTCTCGCTTAGATATTAGGGCTTAATCGATAGACAATTCGGTTTTATACACATGTAGTACAATAAATAATACTCAGTCTTGCGTAATACAATAATATATAACAGATAACTAAAAACGAGAACTAAATTTGCTTAGAGGGAGGAGGAGGGTGCTTTCCCGGAGATATATGTTATTACATGGGGCAAACAACATTAGCAGACGATGCAACTATTTACAAGTGACTAAGCAATTGGGCTGCTGCTCCCGGCCCTAAGCCCTCGACTGACCCCCTAACCCCTGACCCCTGACCCTTGGGTGGGCAATCACGCGGCAACAACAACGACCAATGAGGCGCAATCATCGTCGGCAGGCGCCGCCGGCTGTAAACTTTGTGCCACTGCAACTGCCACTGCAGCTGCGGAATCGGAATCGGAATCTGAATTATCCACCTCCCCATCCTGCGCCGCATCCTGCCGCCCATTGGGCATGTTAATGCAAATGGCAGGCGTTGCTGCGGCCAAGTTGCTGGATGTGGATGCAGACGTGGACGATGACGATGAGGAGTCGGCCTTATCCTCCTCCACTGCCACTGCCACTGCCGCTGACAGCTTGCACTTTTGCAGCTTATTCAGCGGCTCCTGCTTCTCCCAATTGGAAATGCAATGGTGATGATGATGCACGGCCGCCAACGAGGGATAAACGAACTTCATGCCGTAGGCAAAGTGCCGGGGCTGATGATGCAGTGCCTCATCGTAGCTGGGCAGTCCAGTGGCGATTGTGTAGCAGGGCGGCGATTCGATTTGGTAGAACCCAGCCTCGCTGCTCCGATGGTGCGGATGCTGCATCTGCTGGTGCAGCAGCAGTCTGCTGGCGTCGCATCCAACCAGGTGCGAGGAGTACGAGTCCGTGGCCGCATGGATCTGGGCACGTATGTCCTTGTCTGCAATGAACAGAGGGCGGAGTTTGTTAGTTGAGTTTGTCAGCAGAAAGTTTCTATTGTTTAGATGGACAGGGAGAAAATCGGGACAACAATAACATTAAGATATAAATATGTTTTGGCCAACTGAGACACTAACGCAAAGTCCTGTAAAATGAGTTTTTGTGACTTGCTTTATATGCTTTTCTTGCTGTGTAGGACACGCGGAGTGGGTGCTTCCCAATCAGGCATCAAAGTTTTGACTCTATCATTACTTTGTTTGGCCATGTCAAAGGACATTTGTAGAAGGACGGGCCCGGGGCATTAAATTCAATTTAGCGTAAAGGCGCAAACGCTTGAACTTTCCCGAATGCAGGGGCAAAAAAGGCGAAAAAATGGCAAAAAGAGGGATGCGGAAAGTTTTGTGCTGACCGGAAATGCCGGCGAGGATGCCAGGACAGGCGAAGTTCCTTCGCAGCAGACTGACGGCCACCCAAACAACAACAGCAACTAGGCAATAATATGCCGGAAGTGCGCGCGTGGCAGAATGGAATGAAATAAAATACTCTCTCGCACACACGCACACACACACACACACACACACCCGCGCAACTGCCAACTGCAATGAAATAAAAGCTCGACAGCCCCGGAAAGTAGGCAGCAGAAAGCATTTAATTTTTATAATGCCACAGCTGCTGTGCATGTGTGTGTGCATGTTTCAAATTAAGCAGGGTTAAATTAAGATTGGAAAATTGCAATTTCCATGCACGCGGCTCTAAGCCGAGGCCATCAAAGAGTTTAATTTGGTTGTATTTTGAGTTACAGCCTTGATTAAAAATGCATGAAGCAGTAATTTGCCTCAAATAGAATTTCGCGCATGCATATGTGGCATTGCAAAAAGCGGCAGGTATTCAGTGTTATTAAATGCAATTTAAACTGCATTCAATAAATAAATAGGGGATCGCCTCTGTCCGTTTTTTATGTCATTTAATTTGCTTGCCTCGCTGTGGAAAAAGTCGTCAATTTTTTAATTGTTCAGACTGTATTTTTCATAAATTCTCCGTTCCCGAAAACGCTTTTTCAATTAAAGCGCATCTCGCAGGAAGGAAAGGTGGTCGGTATTTCGGTGTTTCGGTGTTTGTGGCAGGGGGTAAAGCATGTTGAAAAATTCGCGCATTACAATATTAAAACGCAGCGGCAGCAGAACCAGTCAGCAGTTACAGTGGCTGCCAGCAGTTGTTGATTTATTGTTATAACTGTAGGACACACTCATATATATCCTTTTTTTCGGCCAGGACACCCCACATGAGGACTGTGTCCTTTGTTTTCTCTTTTTCGACTTTTGTTTCCGTGCTTTTTTCCTTGCTCTCTGTTTGATAGACAGCCTGCAAACAGGGCGCTGTACTAAGGGGGCGTGGCCACTCATACTCGGACTGCGGGCTTCATATTTTATGCAAGTGTTGAACAAACAGCCGCCCCTGAAAAAGGCAGCCCCTCAGCCTCTCAGCCATTTCAAGCATTGCAGATGGACGCAAAGAAAGTCGGAAAATCGGGAAAAAGGTGGCCGCTGCACGCAGAAAAACTTTTAACTACCTAGAGGTATTGTGATATGGCAATACAAATATTTGTACATTCACTTGCTGTTATTTTGGCCACCAGTTAGTGATGTTATTAATATAATAAAAGAAAAAAATGTAGCTGCAAAATTCAGTTTGTGTTTCGCTCTCTGTACGGTCGGAAGAAAAAATAGCACACCATTCGTTGATGCGTTTTGTTTTCAGCTGCATTGGCACTTTGCCTTCTCTTTATTTTTGCATTTGTATCCTGTCTTTTTTCCCCATTTCTGTTGTCGATGCGCCCAAATGTATGCAACAATTTAAATTCATCGCAATAAGCCGGCACTCTCGAATGAAAACTGGCAAATGGAAAGCAGTGAGCTGCTTTATTTTGTGTTGCCATAAATGTCTGTTAATTTTTTAAACGCCCCAACTTTTCTGGCTTTATTCGATCTGAGTGGAGTTTTTATTTAAGAATTATGATCATTGGATTTAAGCTGCCTTCAATTGTTATTAAGCCGACCATTGAAATGGGCATTCGATTTTTGTGTTTCCATTTTTCCCACACAAAAGATGCAGTCTCAGCCATTAAAACTTTTGCCAGCTCTATTATGTATGCCTTTCCCATACCACTAAGTGCTGGTCGGCTACAAAACAATTTGGTTAATTACAGCACTCAATTTGAGTTTGCCAAAATGGGGGTAAAAAACTACAAGAGCAACTAAAATATTTTCCATGGCCGAAAAAGGGAGCAGCTTCTAGTTTTTCTGCGCTGCTCGCAGGAAAAACCATTAAAAATTTAAAAGTACTGTGCGGCTAAGAGCAACTTTTTCTGGTCTTGGCCAAATATGCTGCGCTTAATTACATTTTTACGCAACTAAATTATGCAGGACCTATACAACACGATAAACAGTGGCTGCTGCTCCTCTGCCTGGCTTTAATTTAGTAACTTCATCTGGTCTGTTAATAAATTCAGTCGTAGTCCTCCGCTGCACTAATTGATAACAAGCCAAAGCCAAAGGACCGAAAGTTTGCCATCGCCAGTGTGTGTGACAGTTTAATAAATAAGGTGTAAGCCTGGCTGGCTGCCTGGCTGGCTGCCTGAATGGCAACTGGGCCAGACACTCTTGTGTTTGGGCCTCGTTAAGCATTTATAAGGTAAACACTGCGAGACGCCACGTAGCTGGCATTAAATGCACAAAAGCCGAAGTGAACTCCGGCCTAGTTGCTTAATTATAAATGACACACGTACTTCTCGTTTCCCAGTATCCCACTGTCCCAGTATCCCGGGCAACCTATCCCACCGACCACGTGGTATCTATCTAGGCCATAGGACCAGGGAAAAGCAGAAAAAAGCACAGAACACGACACTAACGAAACTAATTAGACGCATTGGACGCCCGAAAGCAGGCAACACATATCGCTCAAATTGATATTTCACGTATATATAAATGGAGCTTTCCGGGTCCACCCTTCTTGGTCGCGTGTCGTAATCGCAGGGCAAAGTTTTTAAGGCTCGTTAGCACAAAATTGACAGTTTGACAGTTGAGTTGGCCAGGCTTTAAGGGCACGGCCCTTTGGCCCAAGAAGTTGTGCTCACAGTCCCAGGAACAGGACCAAAGTTTGCTCCTGGCCGAGTCCTTCACTTGCTGCCCGGCCTAAATAAATCATTTGGCTAAATTGGTCTGCAAAAAGTTTGACACTTGAGCCGGAGTCTTGTTAGTTGTGTAGGTTGTTCGGCCAGCCCCTCCAATACAATGCCATTTTAGTTTTGTTCAGTTCTGTTCTGTTTGGCTTAGTATGAGCCTGAGTTGGGTTCCTTGCTGTGGTGCCCGTGATTATGTGTAAAGTGCCTAAACATATGATTTATTTTTGGGATTGGGAGCAACAGGTTTCGGGCAGATAAGATATATATTTACATGGGCTCTATTTGGGTTGAGTGGCGGTAATCTGGGTGGGATTTAGGTGGGATTTCGATAACAGTTGTGTCGAACTTGATTGATTTTGGATTTAACACTGGCCTGCTACAGCCAAACTAAAAGTGTGCGAGTTCAGAGAAATATGAAAATATGAAATTTACAATCTCCCCCATTTACAAACCAGACCTCAGCTACGCAGCTGAATGATATGGTCCATCATTATATTATTATATTACTCTTTATCGCCTCGGCCCCCAAAACAAAATATATAAATATCAAGGCACAATTTCACGCCTTTCAGCGGCAGAGCAACAAATTTCGGGGCAACAATTTCCCATTCGAGGGCGAGGAAGCGGGGGAGGGCTCGACGAGGTCGGCCATATTCTCCAGCTCGTACATTATCGCTATCATAAAAGGGGCACAATGCCTCCGAGGCGAGTCAATTTAATATTATAAATATGCGGCACATATATTTTGTGGCATAATAAACTTGTGTATCTAAAATTACAACAGAACGATGCGAACGGCTGGCTGACAATTTCGAAGCGCGCCAAAAATTTATGAGGCTTTGCGGCCATAGGAGCTCCATGGAGCTCCACAAAGCTCCCAACTGATGGAACCGATGGAACCGATGGGTGGTGGGACCTGTTTCGGTTGCTCTTTCTGTTTCTGCATTTTATATTGTTTAGCCAGCTGAATAAATGGCCGGAGATAAGGCTTTGGCGAAACATTTTGATTAAAGTCGAGCACATAAAAGCCAGATGTATGGCATTTCGGGGGCGAAAAATGGGCCGAAAGTGGGGCTTATATTTGGGTGGCTGCCCGACTGAAACTTACTGCATTTTTTCCAAGTGCGGAACTTCCTGTAGAAGTAGCAGCTGAAGAGGATGAAGACCAGCGAGAGAACGACCAGCGAGCTGACCACTCCGATCCACAGATAGTTGATGATCACATGCATGTCGGCATCCCCGAAGATCTGGCTCCACCACGAGGACTCGCCCGATTCCTCGGACCTGTCCCGCAAGTCGGCCAGGTCCAGCACCACCGACTTGGAGAGCTGCTCGGTGCTGATGCTGCCATCCGGGGACCAGCCGCTGGGTGGAGCCGGATCGTAGGACACCGCCGCGTTGCCAATCCTCTGGAGCAGCGCGTTGAAGGAGTTGAGGGCGTCGATGTGTCGCAGATCGTGGGCACTGGGTATCTCGAAGGTGATCTGATTCTGCTGCAGGTGCTCGGCAATCGCAGCGGGACTCATGCTGCTGGCCGGCGCGGATATGTACTCCGCGTATAGCTCTTCGGCAGAAGTGGTGGTCTCCACCGTTGGATAATCCGTGCTGCTAATCATGGTGATTGCCTTTGATTATTTTATTATTTCAATTCTAAACTTAATCTTCTGTTTGCGTCTGGCACACGCACACACTCGCGTCACGACACGTAAACAAATCGTTGGACTCTATATATAAGTCATGGGTTCGATTTCGGGTTTTATTTGCCGTGGAGTTTCTACAGCTCGATTCTCGGTGCGTCCGTTCGCTGGAGCGGCTATAAGTTGACTGACTGCTCGCTGGCGGAGTGTAATGCCTACATCGGGTCGCTGAGAATGCGAGAAGCGCATGGCGCAGGGAAATTTCCATTCAACTCACTCATTTTCGCGACTCACTCGCTCTTGAGTGAGTTGTGGGCGAGGCACTCAGGAAATCAAGTCAAGTCCTTGCTTAAAGAAGCATGCAATTTCTGGCATGTCTTTTATGTTTTTAAATGTTTGACGTCCTTTCGCCCTCGCCCTTCCGTATTTTTTGCTCTCCAGATGACCTAGATTGACCAAAAACTATACGAGTATTTTCCGTACGAAAGACGGGAGAAAAAACGCTGCTAACATAAGAAGGGAAAACTTCACCTCGGTCACGTTCGTTGTTTAAAGTTTTCCAACGCTTTTCGGTCTTGTGTTTTTCCAGCAAATTGCTTTGTGGCAAAGTTTCGGTCTGTGCTGATTTTAATGAAAGGAAAAAAGGGGTTCTGTGGCACTTGATAAGCCGGAGCGCGAAGTTTGCGCCAAATCAAACGAAGAATTATGGCCAGCGAAAAGTTTTGTTTGGGGCATGAGGAATTTATGCAAATTATGTGACGTCTGGCTTTCAGCCATCTTAAACTAACCCAGTTTTGGCCGGCTTTAAAGTGGCCCAGTGCCCCCCAAGCTGTAGCCAGAACTCAAAATCTCGACCATTATGAGTCCCTCGAGCGGCAGGATGCCGCAATGCTTCCTGCTGCCAGTAGTTTCTGTTGCTTCCAAAAAGGCCAAAACGGGGTACACAACAACAAAACCCAGGAAGGGGACTCGGCCCACAGCACGCCTCATTTCTGCTCATGTTGACCATAAGCCGGCAGTGTGGCAAAAACTCAATGCACAAGGCGCCGACGACACAAAAACGTGCCGAAAATATCCTGCTCAGAAAGTGGAACAAATGCACTGCACCCGCACTCACTCCAAAATTATTCGAAAACCCACTCGAAAACCGGTTTCGCTCGGAGAGACTCGGACTCGAAAGGGAAATTTTCTCCCACTCGACTGCGCACTCTCTCTTGCCTTCGCTCTCGCTCTTCTCTCGCGCTCCCTGGTGAGTGAAATTTCCCATTTCCCTGGCGAAAAACCAAACCGAAAATGAGCAGTCGCTGGCAGTCGCCTTTGAACTGCCCTGGGTTAAAGGTCACACGGTGTGTGGTGGGTGTTTCAAAATGTCAGAGGGCCTGGGCGGCTGGAAAATACGTAGTTTTCCCAGACAACTGCGCCGTGTAGTTTCGGCTGCCTTGTAATTGCCAGGGGGAAATTGAAATAGATGCCCGATAATAAGCACTTAGCTGGAGACCAAGTCACTCGATAAATGCATTAAAAACTTTTCCGAGCCGCCGAAAACTTCTGCACTGCACTCTGGCAAGCCGAGCTTATCGTTAATTAGCTTTCGACTAATTCTGAACTCGAGCATAAGTTTTAACTGCAGCGATTTTAATCAATGCGTGCTTGCGGGCATACTTCAGTTCGTTGGGTAGCTCGGGGAAACTTTGATGGCCCAAATGCAGCTGTTAAAAAATATGTTGGTCTTTTCTATGGTCGAAATTTGTAGAGCCAGCGAAGTCACTTAGCTATTAGGTATATTATTTGCTGAAAATAATTTATTTTACAAACAAACTAAGAACAATTAAATTATATTATTGTACATATATTCAAACATTACCTCTGAGATTTTTTTTAGAGCACACAAAGGAGTTAAGTTTGGCCTTACAAATATTATCTGATTCTCGTCCACTCACAAAATAATTCACTTGTATAACATACCTTTATAGAATACCACAAAAAATGTCATCACACAATTTGATTTGTTGGAATGCCTCTTTGAGCTTTCAATAACATTTGTTCGCATTTCTTCGTTTGTAATCCAATTTTGATGGCAATGCAAATTAAATTCACATCACTTCACTTGTCGCATTCAATCTGCTCGGATGGAAAACCAACCCCGAACGATATTTTCCAACAAAAGTGGGGCTTGATAAACAAGTTTACACCTCTTTCGTTTGTGTGCAGCGAAGTATGAAACCTCACAGCCTGTCCCTGGGAGATTTTAATATGAATCCTTAGAAAATTGTGAATATTCTGTCTTTCAGACAGGAGTCGCAAGGACTCCTATGCAAGCGCATGCAAATGCTCCGTGACACCCAGCTAAAAGTAAATTCATTAAAAATTCCATCATAAAAATACCTCGGCTGACGTGAGCGCCCGAAAAAAGGACGAAGAACTTGTATTCTTTTTACTAACTAACTAAAAGTAAACCATAAAATAGACAAGACGCCAGCAGGAGGGGGCGCTGAGCGGAGGGGGCGTGGCCATAAGACTGAAGGAAGGAAGGATGTGGACTATATCTCTGGGTTTGGGCTTCTATGCTTTGTGCATGACTCGCTCCGCTTTCATCTTATCTTCCAGCTTCCATCACACTTCACTTACATGCTCTTTAACATGTCAACATGTCAGCCCCGCACGTGTGTGTGTGCCTGTGCACTGGTGTTGGTGCCCGTGAGGGAGTGTGCGTGTGTGTGACATAGTGACATAATAAAATGTTACTTTAGTTAGTAGTTTAGACGTCGAAACCGCCCGCAAAAAGACGCTTTTTCACAGTGGTAAGTGCGGCACTATGCAACTTTCCTCCATGCCATTTTTCTGCGAGTCTGGAAAGTGCAGATTTAAGTGCAGTTTCTGGAGCAGCAAATGGTTTTTACGGCTTAAACGAATCTGGAACCTATTAACTTCTTGCACTCATATTCATTTAACTTAATATGTTAGTAAGTTCTGAATAAATAAGTTACAATTAAACCTGCCATTTAATTAGCTGGTCAAGCAGTATAAGTCGAAATGTCTATCATATTTACTCCATATATATTTGAATATTAATATATTAGTCTTAAAATTCTCATATTGCTTATGTATGCTTCATAATCAAACGCCTTATTCAATTTCGTCATAAGTACACGATAAATACTTAATTAAGATGACACACTGCCCTGCAAAGCCTGATGTTTCCCAAGTAAGCAATCCATTTGACTGTTTGGCATATTCATTCAGATGCTGCTTATGCAACAGCCGGTGAATAAACAACTAGATCCCATTTCCCTTTCATTATTCAAACCGATTCATATCCCAAAGCAGGCCGCACATAACATGCAAAAGTGATTTTCCATTCGCCGTGTCCGCATGCCATCAATGGCAAATTATGCATTTAATGGCCAAATGCAATTAGCATCTCCTTTCAAAGGAGAGAGGTCCTTTCCCCCAGCTCCCAGCCCCAGCTCCATGTAGCATACCACAGCAATTGGGTGCGTGTCCGGCATAATTGCCCGAGATTAACATAAATCAATCAAAGGGCATGAGGCACCTTTGTACCTTAGGGCCGCTGCAGTTGCAGTTGCAGTTGCAGTTGCATGTGCGGTGCTAAATGCCTGTGAAATTGCGCAGAAACTTTTGCGCTCTGCAAAAGGACTCGTCACAAAGGATATGTACAAAGCCGAGGAAGTGAAAGAAATGCAAACAATGCCAAGGAAGAGGCAGGAGAACTCAGTGCTAAGCCGTCCGGGTAAACAAATACAATTGCATAAGTCCTGATGCCGCTGTTGTTGTTGTCTGCTAGCTGTTATTTTTGTAGTGTCGCATTGTGTGCACTTCAAAAAAATGGGTGTGATAACTGGCGGAAGTGTAAGGGGTAACTTTGTGTGCATTTTCGTGCTCATTTTATTTGGTTTTCAGTGTATTAATTTGAAATATTCTCAAAGAGCTCTCTTAAAAAAATATTATAAATTAAAAATGAATATTTAATAGTTTTATATATCCCATTTAGCTAGACTTTTTTGTTTGGAGTTTCTGCAAATGTTATTGGGGACTTTATGCCAATGGTCACCTTTTGAAGTAATTTATCGCACCGATTTCTCTCTCTGCATATCTCCGATTCAGTCTGCGTGCGTTTGTCTGCGAGTCTGTTTATCATATGTGCGCTTGATTAGCGCTGACAACATATGCAGGCATTGCAGACATCGGGCCACAGGACCACAAAAAGGACTGCCAACAGGACTCTGTTGACAAATAAAACAAGCAAGTGCACATTTTTGTGCCGAGCTGCATATTTTCGTTTCTGCTCAACAACAACAGGAAAGAAAACAAATATAGAGGCCTTTTCTCCACGCTGCCCCACACTGCCCTCGTTATCCTGCTGCAAGTCCTGCATCCTGCAGCCAAACAAAGGCTCTGTTCACGAAGCAGTTTTAAAAGGATTTGCAGTTGAAATATGCTCCGGGCATTGCTGCTGTTGCTTATGCAAACTCCGGCCAAGACGCCACATAAATGAACACTGGTGATTTTTTTGGCAAAGGATTATGGCCAGAGGAATCCAACTGGAAGGCATGCATCTTCAAGGATGTGCGAGAATGTGCCTTACGATTAGTCACCAGAGGTGTTGATCTATGGTTCCGTATGAAAAGCCTTTGAGGGCGTCCACACAAAAGGTATATATTAGTTTAAAGGACAGTAAGCTGGGGTCTCAACTAAATCGCAATTTTAACCAAATTTAGAAGAATGATCTGCCTCTTTGGCGATTTCCATTCATCATGTCTATGGCAGCGCAACATTTTTGAAAATCCCTGAAGGACTTTCTGCCGTGCACAGCCCTAGCTTTCAGTTTTCCAGCCCAATTATCTAATTAATCTATTTCAAGAGCATTCCCTGCCATTTCGACCTACATTAATTTCCTATTCATTGTTCGGCGCAGAACTGGGCGATGTTGCACCACCAGTCCAATGAGTGGTTGTGGCAGCATCAGCTGTTGCCCCACATCCACCGCCCCCTTTCCCCGCCCCTCGCGTGCCATTTGCGCATATTTCGCGCACTTCAAAAGTTTTCGCTTGCTTATTAAGAGAGCTAGAGAAACAAAAAGGCCGAAACAAAAATGTTTCGCCATAACTCAAGTGTGGCAGGCAGGCAAACAAATGTGCACTGGAAAACGAGAAGATATGATATGAACAAGGTAAAAAAATAAA